AAGAAAGAGAGAAAGAGAGAGGGAGGGGGGAGGGGGAGAGGGAGAGAGAGAGGAGTTACAGAGAGAGAGGGGGAGAGGAGAGTCAAATCAAGAGAGGGAGGGAGGAAGGGAGAGATAGAGAGAGAGTCGTATCGAGAAAGAGAATGGGAGAGAGTCATATCGTGAGAGAGACAGCTTTTTCATTCCATTTAACTGTGCATCCGTCAAGAAAAAAACTTTCTGATTAGCTTTTTCAACTTTTTTTCAACTTTTTGTCGTTTTGTCGGAAACACCGCAAAAGGTCATCCAGTAAACGTTAAATAGCGAATAGTAGACGGCTACCCACCCGACCGTGGTAGTTGAAGTGTACACACACAATATGACTGGGTACACACAATATAACTGTCAATGAACAGATCCAGAGAGCTGAAACTCATGTTCTAGATTCGCAACACAATAAAAGGGCCTACTGCGCCGAGGGAGGGAGGGAGGGAGGGAGGGAGAGAGAGAATGAGAGAGCATGGGAGAGAGGAGCTGTAGGAGGAGATGAAAAGAAACACACTCAGCACAGAAACGGGTGAGGCAGTTCTGTTGACCCACAGGATTTGATGCACCTACCTAGAAGCTGGAGGAATGCACCTTGACAGGAATTGTGACCTGGGACGTCCGTCAAAAGTGTGTGTGCCTCACACTAGGACTTTCGAGGAATGCAGCACCACCACTCATTTGCGACTTACGAGGCACAAACAGACGGAAGAGAAATGGAATAGAATATCGAGAAAGCATGGGGGAATGCTCACACTACGGACTTTTCCGGGATGTACCTGGGCGCAATTGCAGCCTGACCTGGATGCACCTGACCGGAATCATGTCCAGAGATTGGTCGAACAAGTGCTAGTGCGCGAGTGTTTCCTCCCCCTCTCTCTAAGGGCCTCGCTCCACTGCACAACATTCTAAATGTATCTGGCGCTGCTTATGGTCCCGGTCTTTCAAAATGTTGGATCAGCCCGAATGCATTGGGTCCACACCACAGTCCAGATGCATGTAAAATCTCTGACTTGCTCATTTAGGTCCTCGGTCTTTCATTCTTACCTTCTGAATCTCTCCTGGCGCCCCATTATCTTCATTATTTGTTTATTAATTTACTTATCACCTTTGATTTGTTTTCACTTTATTTCTTTCTAATACCTACCTGGGCCAGCAACCCGACTATCTCAGCTGGTTAGCACCAAACGTGCCCCAGGCCGTCAGTGGGGATTGACAAGTGTGTGTGTGTGTGTGTGTGTGTGTGTGTGTGTGTGTGTGTGTGTGTGTGTGYGTRTGTGTGTGTGTGTGTGAGAGAGAGAGAGAGAATGACTTGTGTGTGGGAGAGTGTTGGCCTTAGACACTGCTATTACTCAATGGGGGTGGGGGAAGAAGAAAAGGGAGGCGCAGCTACCATAACGCGACCTCTTGGAAGTGCCTATTGGAAACTGATACGAATTTGGATTTTAACGTGCTGGTGTTTTTTAACTGTAGGAATACTACTGAGAAGTGATGCGCGTCTTTGTGTTTAGCTGGGCCCCCACCAGCGGCCCCAACGCTGCACCCCAAACCACTACCGTCTTCAGCCGAATAGAATGCCCAGTTATTATAACAGTATCTGGACTGAAAAGTGCACCAAATATGGCTATAATGACCGGGCGTTCTATTCAGGTGAAGACGGTAGGGCAAGGGGCAAACATGCAATATCCCCTTTGTTGTGCAAAGTTAGTTATGCTCGTAGGCATCCGATGTCTAGCTTTAAGAGTAAGTAGTAGGGGTAGGGAGTGAAGAGAAGAATATAGCTTCATTATTAAAAATATATATACTTATCTTTTTCCTTACCTTCTCAATATCTCTTGGAGCCCCATATCCCGATGCAAACATCTGTCCCAACAAGGACTGCATGACTGTATCGCCTCCGACAGCCGCCTTGAGCGTGGCGTCGTACCACCTAAAAACGCAATCGGAAACCACCTCCCCCAGCGGTCGGCGGATCGAGACCTCTTCCTCAGGCATATCCATCGTCTTGGAATTGCACTTGAACGTCATGCTGGTTTTTTTTTTTTTTTTAAGGCAAGGCATCATCAAAACAATAAATTAATATAAAACCAATAAATTAATAAAACCAATAAATAGCAAGAACGAACAACAGCCGAGAAGCACGCGACATCCCCAGAATGCATTCATTATATATATTATCGTCAAATATATAACATTATTCATATATAATATTATTAATATAATATTATTAATATAATATTATTAATATATAATATTATTAATATATAATATTTATTAATACATAATATTATTCATATATATATGCCTACGGTTTACCGGGCAGCTCTGTTTGACGAAATTAAGAGAGAGAGAGAGAAAGAGAACAATCAAATCAAATATTTTTTTTAATTCCTTCACGAACAATAACACATCAGAGGTACCTTTCTGATATGTTTCAATTGCATGCCACATGTCAGCATCTAAATGGCGGTTGTGA